AAATACCTTTGATGCATGCTTGCATTATTTATTTCACCAAATCAACTTTCTCCAAAACTGGTGTGGCCTGGCTGGCTGGGAATCATGGGAGTTGCAGTCCATCATATCTGAAGAGCATGGAGGGAGGGCTACTCTGCGTGTTTTTTTTCCCCCTAGCAAGAAACGATTGCTTAAAAAGTTCTCCAACCTCGCTGTTTCATAACATAGAGCAGAGACCCCCTTCAGATGGGCTGCGCTATAATTCCTACCTTTTGAATGGTGCCAGGTTAGGGAAGCTGATACAGAGCTAAAGAGTTAACTTGCACAGAGCTGTATAAAAAGCAAGTGCACTGACTGAGTGGAAAAACGTAAAGAACCAGATTATATGACTTTGATATAAACATTAGAAGTGCTGACTGTGCATACTGTAAAATGCTGCTGAAGCCTGCTGCCAACAATGTCATCATAAATCAAGCAAGTTGTTAGAAACAGATCTGAAACTAACCTGGGTGTTAATCTTGAACAATAGCCTATTGTTACCTGAAAGAGGATTATATGATGCCATTTGACAGTTGCCTCATAGCTTTTACCTAACTTACAATTAGAGTGAATTTGTTCTCCACTCCCCCATTCTTTCTTTTGCTCGTTGTTGACAAAATTAGCCTCATTGTACAACAACAATATGCACCTGTACAAAAGTATTAGTCACTTATATCAGAGGCTAACTTTTCGATATTCCATATGACACAAAGGTGTCAAGAAACAAAAGAAGAAAACCTAAGGACAGATGGATTTCAATCTACAATAGTCCATTACAACATGCAATCTCCTTATTTTTATGCAAAGGTAAATAGTAAATAGTAAAGTAAGCTTATTGGATTCAGACTGATTGCAACTCTTGTGTAGAATAACAGAGTTGGAGGACACTAAAAGGCCTCTCTCCTATATGAGACAGGACTTTCTACCCATTTCAAACTGTTATTATTTGTACTCTCTGCATTTCATTGCTCCCAGAATTTTTCCTCCTGTGCACCTAGCCATGTCAATGTCAATATAAAACTAAGGGTAATCCTACATGCATCAGATGAAGTACGCAGCTCAAGTCCATGAGAACCTAGGTCAGAACAGGTTTGCTAATCTTTAAATTATTATGACATTTTTTTCGCAGTGTGACCTAGAGTCAACTGTCTCTGGAACAAACTCGAATGAGTTACCTCTTTCAAATGCTTAAAAGAGGTAGTAGTAACTCAGGTTGCTTCCAGAGGAAGAGCTTTAAGCATTACTAATCAAAAGCAGTGCACAATTATGTTATCTTTGTCTCCTTAGTGTGCTTTCTCTGGTAAGAAAATCGAGATGAAATAATCAATGAGAAAATAAAATGGTTCCAAATGTAAGATGACCTGTAAGAATTCCCCATAAAAATTGCACAAATAAAAGTCCCATCTGAAAGAACCTCTGGTCTAGTTCCATCCCACCTTTACAAATTCAAAAGAACATTCACAGTAAACTTTTCCGTGAGGGCTGTATTATAAAATAAGCTTAAAATTGTATCTTATTTTATAAAAAACATAAACTATATTTATATATTGTATAGTGTGTGTGTGTGTGTGTGTATTGGTTGCATCCAATGATCCTGTAAAAATTTATCTTTTTTCTTTCATTTTGGTAAGGGATGGGCTGGGTTAAATATTGGGATTTAAAAAGTTGGGAAAATAAAATTGGCTTAATTGTTGAAAGAGCTTTGTTAATTTCTTCCCTGCAGACTTCTTGTACCAAGCCTGGTTACTTCCTGAATGAATACAGGCTGCTTTTCATATATGAAACCTAACACTTCTTGGCACATCTCCAGTTGTTAAATAAAAAAGGCTACAAGCCACTGCTAACCTGTTTCCCTGAACGGAGTCATAGTATTTGAACTACTAAAGCAAGATTTTTCTTTCCCAGCCTTTTGATGCTCTCTGTTACAGCTTTTTAGGCATACCTCCCCCCAAGCACAAAATAAAAAGAAACATGCTGAAAAATATGAAAATATTCCAAACTAATTAGCTAACCAAACAACAGTAGCTGACTGGCTTCCCAGATTTCTTTGAAGACTGTAAGGTCTGTGATGAATCTTTTCCTCCTTGTCCTAGTTCAGGTTCTCCATTGGCCTTTAACTCAAATAATTAGAAAAGCTCTTCGTACTCGATCCCGGACCTGACCTTCATCCAGAAGCAGTCTCACACACTGACTTCTGTAAGAGTTCCAATTCAACTGAAAAAAAATGTGCGTGTTTGTGTGTACGTATATATGATTATATATATCTCTCTCTACCTCTGCCTTAAGGTATATAAGTTACTGTTCTTTTTCTGAATTTCATGATATTTTGAATTTCATGATTTTTTTTTACTCTATTTACATTTAAGCAGATTTCTTACAAAATGAATGTGGTTTAACTGTAATGTTATCAGATTATCTCTGTAATGCTAGACAAAACAGGATTTGCATCATTTAAAAGGATACTGAATCAGCTTAGTTTTCCAGACCTCATCGCCTTCTTCATTACTTACAATACTAACATCTAGTTTGCGGGATAGCAGCTTATTTAATGATGGCAATACCACTGTTTATTTCATTTGCTACCACCTTTTTAATATTTTCCCCTTTGACTTTCATTTTGATGACTGGTATTACAGAATTTTAGAGATATATTCTAAATACATCTAGAGCTTCCTGGGCATTGGATATAAAGACAATTGAAAATATTTTTCACTCTAGCACAGTGTTTCTCAACCGCACATCTTAAAGTTGCCAGGGTTGAGAAACAGTGCTCTAGCATGATTCTAATAGCCTTGCATTGTACCCTCTTTCATTTACCAATATTATGTTCACAATAGCACAGAACAAGATTTCTGTCATAATCATTATATCCTGACTGCTTCATTTGGTATCTTTACCCAATTGCTACAACTTCCTTCCACTACTCTTACATCTCAAGAATTTTAAGGTGTTAATCATAGCTGTGGAAGAAAATATGGTTGCTAATGTCAAATAGTGCTGCTTTTGTTGATGAAAGTGGTAGTTAAAAGAATATAGGCTTAGCTAACAAAAGCAGCATTTACTTCTGGATGAAAGTTGAATAGGAGGGGGAAGGACCCAGACATAGAACAGTTATAATGGCAAACCTGTGGAACATTTTATTTCTGAAAAGGCATTAGAAACATGGGTTGAGATAATTTACAACTGAAATGTCAAATGTTCCCAGCTGAGTCAATTTGGAGTAAGATATAGACATAGTTGCTATAGATACACACACAGATACAAGCATACTGAAAATTGTATTCATATCATGGTAAAAAACACAAAAGAATGAGCCAATTCGTTGTAGTGGTTAAAGGCACCAGTCTAAAAATTTGGGGACTGGCATTGTAGTCCTGTCTTAGCCATGAAATCAGTTGGGTGACCTTGGATCAGTCATTCACTCTCAGTTCTAAGAAGACAATGGCAACCACTGCTGAGATGTTGCCCAAAAACCTGCATGGACCTGTTCATATAGTTGCCAGGGGTCAGGACTTGACTTGCACTCACATGCTAATGCAGCAGCAAAATGTAATCATATCCAACTACAACCTTAATCTAAAAACCAGTTATACATCACCCTCTCCTGTGCATTTGCCTTTGATCACATATTATCTGTGGAAGAGATGATAGTACAAAATGTACAAAAATGTTCAGATTTCAAAGACATCTTATAAAAGATGAGCTATGTAAAAAGCAAGATTCTTGCTTGGATGATTCTTAAAATACATATAACAAATGCATGTATAGCTCTAAAAAAAGGACAAAATGAAGGATACGTTCTGGAACCTGCCCACCAATGGCACAGATGACAATTTTATAGTTTTTAAAAAGTTCGCAAACATTTCAAGCAATACTTAAGTGATATTCCATTTATGAGCACCATATCTATTGACATAGCACTAACCATACATTGAAAATGGTTTCCAGCTGGCAATCAATGAACTTCCTCATTCAGTACAACTCATGAGGCAGCTTCTAGCATCCATAAGAATGCCTGTGTATGGATCCCCTCATCCAGTCTATTTCAGAAAAATGGATTTACTCTACCCACAAAGGTCAAAGCTTCTTCCTCTCACTTCCTTGTCATTGCCATTATTGGATATCTATTCTTAGATCCCAATTGGCAATTATTCCTCTGTCCGTTAGTGTAGAGAGAAGGAAAGGGAAGAGGAGAAGAGAAAACAGAATAACAGCAGTGATGTTAATAAGTGATAAAACTGGACTTGCTTTTATAGAATTATCATATTCTTTCAAGCTCCTTTCACTTCTGTGACTATGTTGTTTCTTTATGGGAAAATGTTCATTGTTTTGGTTATATTAGCAATTCCCATCCTTTTCTCTCTCCTTCTCTGCCTTGTTTATATTCAATTCCAAGTCTTCTGGGAAGGATTTTCTTTCAATTGTCTGTCAGCTCTACAGTGATGTAATTTTCTTCCCATTGTAATCAGAAGAAATTGGATAAATAAGCTGAAACAAGTCAGGACATATGGATAACTGCAGACATTAGACAGCATTTTAATTGTGCAATGTAATTGTTACATACTGCATATACGTATTAGTCACCCTTTTATAGTGAGAAAAGCAGGGCAAAGCCCAGTAACAAATAATTCAATTGATTTAAATGATTAAATTAATAAACCCTCAAACTAGAGGGTTTATTATAGAGAAAACCACAAGCAATGTAAGCATACTCAATAATGTACCTCCATTTGCAGGAACAGCAAAATATTATAGATCATATCCTCCATTTCCATTTTCAGTCAGTTCACTAGAAATGAAATCTTTCTTTGGAATTAGCTTTTTACTTTCTACAAAACTCTCTTTGTTAAATTGGTGGTCCTTGTTCATGTCCTCACAATTAAATTGCATTTTTTTAATAATCAGGAAGGAAAAGAATGTGCTGGTGTGCTTTGCATCATGCAGTAAAATACAACTATTATTGAAAATCTAATTAGGCCTACCTTGTCTTCGACTCTGTTCAGCCGGGCACCAACTGTATTAGTCCCCCGGTCTTTATTTTTTTCTGCATAGAAAGAACACTTCTAGATGAATATCAAGTGTTACAATAGTATAGAATGAAGCCATGCAATTGCATTTACCTAGTCTACTACAGCTACTTAATTGAGCCCTGCTGACAGATGGGTAATTTTATTACATTAACTGTAGTTTTTTATCCCTTTATTAGCATCAATTCAAGCCTCGCCTTGAATGGACTCAAGTACAGGCTGTATCTTGAGTTCATGTTATGGTTTAAATCAGAAGAATTAAAGTGCATTCAATTTAGTAAATTTCAATTAAATTTAAGAATAATGTAGCTGAAAAGTATGGTATGGCATAAGTGAGAGCCCGTCTGGTGTAATGGTTAAGGTGCTGGACTAGGAGCAGGCAGACCCAGGTTTTAATTCTCTCGTAGGCACAGAAGCTGCTGGGTAACTTTGGGCTACTCACATTCTCTCAGCCCCAGACTGGGAAGCTGAAAACATCCCAGAAGGTAGCAATGGCCAAACCACTTCTTTCTGGACCTGTCCATGAAGTTGTCAGGAGTCAACTTGATTGATTCAAAAGCACCAAAACAGAACGCAAACCAGCAACAGCAAGGCTTAGCCCTTGAAGTACGTTGATACGCTTCTTGATGATGATCATCATCATCAACATCCCTGAATTGTTAATATAGATTCCTGGCTATTGGAGTATGTTTATTTGGATTCCCACTTCCCACAAAAGAAATATACAGAGACCTTGGTTTCACTGTAAATTATGAAAGCTAGAATGATGAGCACAACTCATTCAATTGCTATCTCCAGCAGGGATGCGTGCAGCACCCAAAGCCTTGGATGCATTCCTCAGAGTCCCCAAAATAGCGCCACTGAATTGTAACTTTTCATGCGACAGAAGCCAAAAATTATTAAATGCACGAGAATAATGTATTAGCTGTTGTAATTAATTCCTTTTAAATTTAATTCGTTCAGTGTTTTTTATTCTGACCTGATTTTCTGTCATGGCTTTTCCTTTGGTTGGATGAACTGCTATTTAATTGTTTCTTAAACAAACTGCCATCCTCCCTGAGCCACCTTCTAGGAAAAATACTTGACTTGTAACATACTTAAGATACATTCTGCAATTTTCTAGGATGGTGACTTACCTGAGACAGAAATAAATAGTGATGGCTTCCCTATAGATTGGTCCAATCTAGAGAGAAAGAAAAAGTGTATAAAATAAGAAGCCAAAGTTTTCCCCCAGGTGAAACATGAGCAACCGAAAGGCAGTTGTGGTTGTTTTGTGTGTTTCTACCAATAATGAAAGAAGCTCTTACATAGCTATTGGTTCACTTGCAAAATATGCCTTTGAATTTATTATTGTGAAATTTAGAGATATTGTGTCTGATCCAAAAAGGGCTTCATGAAGAAGCTACTCACTCACAAAGACTTATTGTGGTCTGTTAACACTTCCTCTTTGGCCTGGAAGAAATTCTTTTAAAAAGATATGGAGATGTTGGGTTCTTCTCCACCCCCCCCCCCAATTCAAACAGGTTTATGGGCAGCAATAAAGCAACCTTTTAATAATTTTCTTTTTATATAATTCTGCTCTTTTTTTTTTTTTTGCCATGCTCAAAAGCCTATGAAGGATAAAATAAATGACCATTCTTTAATACATGGGAGATGAAGTATGAAGTTTCTTATTTGTGAAGATCTTACATTCAAGTTAAAGAAAATAAAAGTGGGAAGGTGGGGGGAAAGTGAGGCAGACTGGGTTCATACATCACTCTAAGTCATAACAAGGCCTGTTTGGTTTTAGATAGTATGTCCTGTCAACCCAGCCATTATGGCTTGTAAACATAATTTATGGCTTAGCATGTTGTAGGAATCCAGCCAACTGTGACTTATTCGGTAAAGCCTAGTTATAACAAACTATGGCTTAGAGCAATCTGGGAATCTTCGCATTATTAAAATACTCCAAGCCCTGTCATCACCACATTTTCTAACCCCGCTTCTATTGCCCATATCTCATTCTTAATTCCTTTTCCTAAGGGTGGGATCAGATCAGATACGCTAACACTCAAAGTTCCATGCAGGTATGGAAGTGTGTTAGGGGCTATGTGCTGGGCCATGGGACACTATTTAATTCTTCCCTAACTGGACTAATTTTATCAGTAACCTCTGTGCTCAACCTATTTTGTCTTCTAAACTAAATCTGAATCAGGAAATATTCCTAGCAGAGAAAAATATTTATGGGTGAGAACTGGTAGGTGTGGATGTTATACAGTCCCCCTCTTTACGGTTGATCATTACTAACCAATGGTTTTCCAATTCTAATATGTCATTGCACCTTCATGGGCTGAGCAGGCTACCAAAACAAGTAATACAATTAAATCGATTGCCTGAATTCACGTAACATGCTAAACTCAAACATACAGATCCTATTATGGCCTATTATAGCCTGGTTTGTACAACATGCTCAGGCAATGACTGGGTTCTCACAATATATATGCAGAGTCAGGCAGTTTATTGATTGAATTGGATTAAACTGAATTAAGGAAATACATAAATACATTTTAAGCAGACTAGTATGCTATGCAAAGCCAGTAGTAAATTTTATGCTGTGACCCAAAATATCTCAACAAACACAATTCTCTATTCCTCACTTTTTTTTCTTTGCCCACATGCCCACCAATTCACTAAATATATCAATATACTCCTATGCTACAGCCAGGAAAAAAAAAATCATAGCAAGTTCCACAGTTAACAATTGATGCCACCTAATGTGGGGCAGTGGGGGTACTGTGGGCTGCAGTTTGTCCATGCACGTTCAGAATATACTTTTTTTAAAAAAGCCATTAAGTTTGGAAGCTGAATTCTGGCCCATACCTTCTTTGAAGCTCTTTTATTCGGACCATTAAGTTGAGATGACCCTGAGAATATTGTTCTATAACATCACGTACATCATAAGGCTTTCTAGCTTGCTGTAAAAATAGATGATAATAATATTAATATTAATAATAATAATAATAAGGCATTGACAAAATCACCATCAGTCAATTGCAAAAGGCAGCTTTACTTGGAACAGCTTATATCCTGCGATGATCCCTTTACCACCATCAACAACAGCATTCATCAATGATAACTACAATAATATTTCAAGTCCCATTATAGCACACCATATCTATGTGGCTGTTAGTTGAGGGATCAGGAAGAACTGAAAGCCAACCTTTTGATTTCTACA